GGTTGGTGGTTTAAGCAGGGTCTATGGGAAACTGGGGTAACCCTAACCCCTCGTCCTGTGGGGGAAGAAGGTTAGGGTTACCGCGTCTTGCTGGAGCCTGCTGATCCAACCACTGGCACACGCCGCATTAGTAGCTGCCAAAGAGACCACAGGTCGCCGGGGGGGAGCGAAGCGCGGGTGGGAACGGCCGGAGCGAGAGGGGCACCGGGAGGACCGGTGCTACGTCGCGGAGGGGACTGATTCGTCTGGCAGGAAGCTGTAAGCGCCATTGTTGAACATGAGCTTAGTGAGGCTGCGGAAGAGTGGCACAGATTGTTGGTGGAGGTAGCGCATCATGGCGTCACTGTGCCACCGAGCGAGGAGCTTGATGACGTTGGAATCGCAGCAGCCTTGCAGCAAGGCCATGGCCCCTCCTGCCCGCAAGGATCGGGCGCTGAGGGATTTTGGGCAGATGCCCGTTGCATGCTGTAAAATCGCTGCGTGCCAGCGCATGGTGGTTGTGACCATTGCAGCGGTGACTCGAACATTTGTGTGATGCTGGTTGTAATAACTGGCTAAGGGGAGACGCCCATCATACCCATGGTTCGAGGCGTTACGGTGCAAGAGAAACTGGCGGATAGAGGCTGTAACTGGACAGCACAGGGGATCGCCACTTCGTGAGTGGGCGATGACATCCCCTTTGACACCATTCTTTTGTGTCGTAAAGGTGAGTTGAATTGAGGTAGCCGCAGATATTTCAGCGTCAGAGGCTGTGGCGGAATGCAGTCTCCGAGCACCGATGAAGAAGGCTAAGTCTTGAAGGGTGAAGGCTTGATCGTCGGAGGTGGTGCCGGTGTACTCGCCAAGGCGCAGGCAGAAGAAGAAGGCAATGCACATCATGTTAGCCACTGCTTTTCTTTCTGCTGTTGGCCTCTGACGATACGCGAAGTTGAGTGTGTGGATGATTACAGTGATGGGAATGGGTTTTACACGAGACAGAGGGCTTTCCCTATTGCGGTAAGCCCGCAGTTGAGCGGCGAATCGATAATCTAGGTTGCCGAATCGATTAAGCCTGGGGTCAAGGGCCCCCATGCGGGTGATCTTCTGGCCCACTGACCTGAGGGCATCCGATACTGTACGAGCTCTTGCACGCTTTTTGCTGGGTGATATTCTTCCATCTTGATATCTGGCACCAAAGACTTGAAGGTAGGGGACCGGGTCGTTGGACAGTGTGAGGAGGGGATCAAGCCCTTGAGACACACAGAAGTCAACCCAGCAGGCCCAATGGGCATCCTTCTTTTTGGCATATCCTTCAGTAACACTGGATCGCATCTCCTTTTGGATAGTGCTAAGATCAGACTCGAAAACAGCGGCTTCCGTAACCGGCATTCCCTCCAAGGCAAGCTCTGTGGATAGGTGAGGTTAAAGTGAGCAGCAAGCTGTGAGTCGTCTAGGTGCCACGCTCGCGAGAGCGTGTCAGCCATGGCATTGGCTGGCCCTGGGATGTAATCATGACGGGGTACATAACAAACAGCCTTTGATGGAKGGCCTGGAGGCGTAGCAAGTAGGCCACCGGGCCTGTTGTGGTGGCTGCTCCCTTTCTCTGCCAGTGCACTGCCGCAGTGTTATCGTACAAGTTGTGTACTGTCCTTTCGGTCACGTCCGCAAACTGGGCCAGGACATCGATCTGGGCTATGGAGCCTGCTAGTTCCAGCTCGCTATTAGTAATGCGACCCTTAGGATTACTGAAAGACACGAGCTCCTGTCGGATCCAGGGAGGGAACTGCTTTCTCCAGTAGATGGGCTGTATGTCGCCACTGGGCAAGGGGATGAAGTGAACTCCCCCCATCCCCGACCCAGCTGCATCGCAAGCCCCTATAGTTGCTGGCCAAACATCAGGCACCAGCTCGGCAATGCGAGTTGGTCGGCTGGCGAGGTCTTCCGCGAGCCATCGAAAGTCTGCTAGAAAACTATGCAAAGCTCCCGTGAGCCGTAAGCGGGATCTTCCTTGCTCTTGGTGCCGTAAGGCCTCTTGGAGTAAAGAAAACAGCCCTACGGAACCCGGCAATGCAATGGCCATGGACCGTAGTTCTCCCAGCAGTTTGTGCCAGTCTGCCACGCGTGCATACTTCTGGTGCGGAGATATACTGCGGAGGATGTGTTGCAGTCGTTCGATTCGAAGCTGTGGGAGGCTGATAGTTTTGTTCTGTGTGTTGAGCAGCCAGCCCAGGATAACCTTGGAGGTGGCCCAGGTGGCATCGCCCTTCTTCAGTTTCTTGATTGAAGCAGGCTCTTGTCGGTAGGGGGTGTCCTTAGAGTCCAGCGGCCGGAAGACTTGGTCTAGTGAGTGAAAGAGGGCTCGTTTCACCGCTCTCCGGGTCCACACGTTTCCCTGTACTAGGCCACAGAAGTCATCTACGTAGACGTCCCAGTACTGAAGAGGCTGTTTAAACGGTGCAGTGGCTTCCTTTTGGGGGAGGTCATCTGTCGTGGCTAAGGTGACTAAGGGAAGCTCCCCTACTGACTCTGAGAGCTCATCTAGCCTATGGGGAAGTTTCCTCATTCGCTGTATTCCCCCTGGCTCCCTCAGTACCCCATTTGCTAGGTCTGCTATTGTCTCCGTGCAAGCGCTAAAGTTTGGAGGCGAGGAACACCAACCCATGGGATTGGTTAGGGGAATTCCGATGAGTGGCTCCTCCCCTGCACGTGCGGGGAACAGAACTGCGAGGCTTATAGTGTCTTCAGGCTTCACCCATAGTCGGTAGAAGCCGTCTGATAAGTCAACTTTGGCCATGTACACAGGCCCAAAGTGGTTATTCGCTCTGTGAATGCGTTGGAGTAGCCTCTTTAGTGCCCTCCCAAACTGCATGGCTTCCTCGGGGGCTATTGGTACCGTGTCGTTGTTCATGCTGAAGTAGCTGTAATCAGATATCATCCTGTCCCTACAACCGCGTTGTGGCACCAAGCCTAGCGGGCTTAGCTGGAGACCGGGTATATTAGCTACAAGCTTAGCGGGGAGAACTGTCCATTGTTGCTTATCCATCATGTCTGCATATTCCTCGCAGAGGAACTCAATCCCATTGTGGGAGGATTTGTGAGGCCCCCGGGCTAAGGCGGCAGCTATGCGGCCCGGTCCCCAGGGGGGTCCCTTCATCCTAGCTGGCGTCCCCTCTAGCTGGAACCTTTTCAGCAGGCCAGCGGCGGGATGGGGAAGCCTATCAACATCTGGGTGCAGGTCTCCCC